TATAGTTCACCGACATTCTGAACCCCACCAACAATAGAATTGGGCCAAACCTCCCACACAGAACCCCCATGTGGGCCACAGCAGTGCGTGGCAGGGGACGGCTAGTCTATATAAATAAAAATGTAATGTTCGTTCATGGGATGAACATAACTCAAAAACCACTGGACCAATTGACATCAAATTTGGCCACAATACACCTATCAGGCCAACGAGTGACCATCACTCATAAAAACACTGAAAAACACAGCAGAAGAGACTTAAAAAGCCAAAAACAAAAAATGCATTACAACATATGTGCAAAACCACATATATACACAAATACACATATATACACATGTACACAAATATATATATACACACACACACACATACACACACAAAACACAAACACAGACTGGGCCACAGCAACGCGTGGCAGGAGACGGCTAGTCGTTAATATTAATTGACAGATATATACATACAGATCTATACATGTTGCCTGCTAATGATACAATATTGAGCTATACTCTGGTCCACAAAAGAATTTGAGTGCAAGGTGTGCAACTCAGTGGTACAGCGTGTGCTTTGCTCACAGAAGATTCTCAATTAAATTCCTGGTGCCAAGCACTACAAAGCAATATGAGAGCCTTGGATATATTTTTACATTCCGCTCTTAGCATAACAGGGCTGGGCAGAACTTCATATGAATGTCTCTAAAGGAAACAATGTTGGAAATCTAGAAATAAGTGAGCAAGTCATATTTCAATACCACATTATTAAATTAGTCACTATGTAAATAACCTGACCATATTATTATTTTTGTGACTGCATCCCTCCCTCTAAACCTGTGTGTGCTCTAAGATCGGCCGGAGGCCATCCTCTGTCCTACCTCCATCTCAAGTGCTGTTGGTGGGGACGAGAGAGAGGGCCTACTCGGTGGTGGCTCCTTGGCTCTGGAATGCCCTCCCCAGGGTTGTTAGGCTAGCCCCCAGACTCCAATATTTTTGGGAAAAGCTTTTAAATGTGGCTTTTCAAACAGACCTTTGAACATAGCTAAATCATCAGCTAAAATTGAGGGCGAATCGAATTGTTGAGTCCAGCACTTTAATGTGGCTTGAAGTTGATCCTCCCCATTTTAATCCACAGCTATTGCTGTGTTTTACTGTTTATTTTATTTAAGTTGAGTGGGAGTTTTGTATGCTGCTTTTTATGTAAATCTGTTTTATGTTAATTGATATTGTGATTGTTTTATAAATGTTTATGTATTTTACTGAATTTTGTATGTTCCTGCAGCACTGTTATGCGCTTTTGTAAGCCGCCCTGAGTCTCTTTTGGGAGATGGTGGTAGGATATAAATAAAGTTGTTGTTGTTGTTGTTGTTGTTGTTATTATTTACATAACAAGATGAGTACACAGCAAATAAGATCACTATGTTGGCTTTTGAATTTGATCCCACGTTGGACACTTCTCAAGTGTCTAGAACTGTCTAATGAATCTGTGAATATTGGGTGCAGATCCAAATAAGGTGGCCTTTTGCAGATGACAGATGGTAATTTTGTCAGCGCAGATTGTTTTTAAGCGCAGGCCAAAGTCTTGAGGCACTGCACCCAGTGTGCCGATCACCACTGGGACCACCGTGACTGGCTTGTGTCAGAGTCTTTGCAGTTCGGTCTTTAAATCCTCATATTGTGTCAACTTTTCCAGTTGCTTCTTACCTATTATTATTATTATTATTATTATTATTATTATTATTTTACATTTTTGTGATTGGACACATCCATCTTTTGTTTTATTTATTTATTTGTTTGTTTGTTTAAGGCATTTATATTCCGCCCTTCTCACCCCGCAGGGGACTCAGGGCGGATTACAATGTACACATACATGGCAAACATTCAGTGCCATAGACATACAACATATATAGACAGACACACAGAGGCTATTTAACATTCCAGCTTCATGAAGGTATTCTGGCCACCAGGGGAGCTGTCACTTCACTGTCCATTTGTGACACTGATGGAGTACTTCCTCATTCTTTGCACGCTTGCTGGAGATTTTATGGTGCATAAATTAGTTAAATTAGCCTCCCCGCATAAGCGGTACCTAAATTTCCTACTTGACAGATGCAACTGTCTTTTTGGACTGCAAAGGTCAACAGCAAGCTACACAAATGGTCAGAAGCTCACTCTGACCTGGGCTGGCTTCGAACTCATGACCTTTCAGTCAGTAGTGATATTAATGCAGCTGACTCCCAGCCAGCTGTGCCACAGTCCTGGTGCTCTGAGCTCCAGGTAGTATGTCTTTCTCTCGCTTCCCAATTTGGCCGCATTGCAACCTTATACGGTAGGTCATACTGAGAGAAAGTGACTCCATTAAGCTTATCCAATAAGTTTGGTGGCTTAATGAAGCCTTGAATCTGGATTGCCCAAGCCCAGTACTAACCACTACTATACATTGGCTTCACATACTCCTACCATTGGTTATATATGGAGCCACAGTGGTGCAATGGGTTAAACCCTTGCGCCAGCTGAACTGCTGACCTGAAGACCTGAAGGTTGGCAGTTCGAATCTGCAAGACAGGGGGAGCTCCTGTCTGTCAGCCCCAGCTTCCCATGCAGGGACATGGGAGAAGCCTCCTACAGGTGTCCCCTGGGCAACGTCCCTGCAGACAGCCATTTTCATCAAGAGAAAAACAACATCTACCTGTAGAAATTTCAAGAAGGTACACTTCCACATTTTAAGATTTCACAAACCATAACTGGTATCATTGCATTTTTGGACCTGTTAGCTGTTGCATTTTTCAAAAGGGAGAAATTGGCATTATTATTTCCCAGAGGTTTGGATGCAATCAGAAATCTGTTTGAAATCAACTAATCTATTTAGCAGCATAACCCTAGATGTGTTGATTGCGTAGTAAGTCCCATTGTGTCCAGTGGTATTTACTTCAAGGTAAATATGGGTAGAGTTGCAGCCTAGATTTGTACAATTCATTTCCAATTCTCCGTGAAACTGTGGGTTCCGTGGCTTTCCTGTCATACTCACGTTCCCTTTTCTTTAATTCAGTTTTTGTTTTGCTTAGAGTTCTGGAAATGATCCTGCTTTCTGTTTTGTGATTTGCTCACTATGGCAACATGAAGGTTTTCAGGTGTCCAGAATTCTTTTCTACGTGCCACCAGACAGGAAACTGATTTGTGTCATGTCAGGCTATTTATCTGTCTAAACCAGTATATCTGCATTGGCCACCAACAGCTCTCCAGAGCTCAGCCAGACATGGCATGAGTCTTGGTCCTGGGAGATGCAGGAATTGCTTGCAGGTCCTTCTGTGGGTGGTCTGAAAACCCTTTTTTGTGGCTGTGCCAAATGATACCTGAGAGTAGATGAGATTATTACCATATTTACTCAAATCTAATGCTCACCTCAATTTTCAAAACCCTGAAACCAAAAAAAAAAAAATGCTGTTAAATGTAATGCATAGCCACAAAAAGTCTCCTCTCTGCAATCTGGCCATTTCAGTTGCTGCCTATTTAGAATTCCTTCTTTCAAAACAAAAGCTTTCAGCAGTGGAAGAGAAAACATCGGGGTGCATCTATGCTGTAGAATGAACCCACTTTCACTGCCCTGGCTCAATACCATGAAATCGTGGAGTTTTACACAGTGTGCTGTCATACGCTGGACCTGTAGCAATTGTCTATTAACAGGACGTGATCTTTATGTGCCCAGTGGGATGCCGGGGCGCCTCGGCTGAGAGGCCCTATGAATTTCCCTATACAAAGTCTTTAGAAGCTTGGAAAGTTTAACAAAGTTCTTTATTGCTGCAACAAATCAGTCAAATACTTCTTAGATCTTCAACAAATCAACCAAATATTTCTTAACTTAGTGCAAGCTCAAAAATTGTAAGGGGGCCAGGAATTAAATGCAGTGCTATAGCAGGCAACAACAATAATAGGTACGGGTCTATGTCTGTTCATTTCCGGGGCCTATTAGAGGAAGTGACCTGGGTAATTGATAGGAAGAATAAGGCCATATTCCACGAATGCTGTGGATCTGTTTCTTTAACCCCAACAAGGGCTGTGCTGTAGAATCCATAGATGCAGAATGTGTGGATATGAAGGGACAACTGTACTATTTCCTTCTGCATTATCTGGGGTTGCTGGAGACTTTGGTTCTATTCCTTAATTATAGTTACTGCCTTGAAGTCTTGGAAACTCATGGCCAGTTGGTGCACAAAACAGTACTGAGCTAGGTGGACCTCTGATCTGATTTGGAGCCTATAGTATTCACTCTACATGGTGATAGTTCAGTACTATTCTTCAATCTTATCTGCTATAGTTCCGTCTTGTGGATTGTGGACATGATCAGTACAATCACATGTCTCTGGATGTAGGTGAACTGCAACTCTAAAAGTCAAGGTCAATGCCCAGCAAACCTTTCCAGTATTTTCTGCTGGTCTGTGTGCCAAGTTTGGTTCAATTCCATCGCTGGTGGTAGGTGAACTTTAAATCCCAGCAACTATAACTCCCAAATGATAAAATCAATCCCACCCAACACCGCCAGTATTCAAATATGGGCGTATCAGGTATTTGTGTCAAATTTGGCCCAGTGAATGAAGAAGCATCCTGCATATCAGATACTTACATTACGATTCATAACAGGAGCAAAATTACAGTTGTGAAGCAGCAACTAAAGTAATTTTATGGTTGGGGGTCACCACAAGACGAGGAACTGTATTCAGGGGTCGCAGCATTAGGAAGGTTGAGAAACACTGAGTTACAGAGAAGATTGAGACCAAGGGGCACTTGGGTATTAGTAATTTTTGCATATAAATAATTTTATTATAATAAATAGGTACTACAATCACATTTGCTAACAAATACAATCAAATGAGACATACTTCGTTTTGCAATACTTATAATGCTTGCAACATTTACATTTTCTAAGGTGCACTTGGGATGTATGGGATCGTGCGAGAGAGAAAAGGTGATACGAGCCATGTCTGATGATCCTTGTTGTTTGCATCCTTTCAGATGTGGTTGTTGTGGAGATGAGCAACAGCTTGTGCCAGCCCTCGCTCTTTTATCACCTGGGGGTGCGTGAGAGCTTCAGCATGACCAACAACATCCTCCTTTGCTGTTACACCGACCTCCCCGAATTTCAGGCTCTCCGGGTAAGTGGGGCAATTGCACGAGGTCTTTCTCGGTCTGTGGCAAGAGTGGCTAGTGACTAGAAATTAAGTGAATTCAATTTAAAGTGCTGCTCCTAACCTATACAATCCTATACAACTTCTTAGAAATACCATATCTCTGCATATGATGCTCAGGGCCATTTTCCTCTCAGTGCTGCCACCCTCAGAGGCCTATTTGTGGTGGTGACATGAGAGAGAGCCTTCAGAGTGGTGTCTTCCATCCTTTGCAATGGCCTTCCATAGAAAAGTAGGCTGGCCCCCTCCCTGCTTCCTTTTTATTGGCAGGCAAAGATATTTTTGTGTTGTCGAAGGCTTTTGTGGCCGGAATCACTGGGTTGCTGTGAATTTTTCGAGCTGTCTGGCCATGTTTCACAAGGGTTGTTGTAGGTTTTTTGGACTGTATAGCCATGTTTTAGAAGCATTCTCTCCTGACATTTCGCCTGCATCTGTGGCAAGCATCCTCAGAGATAGATGCAAACCTCACAACCTCTGAGGATGCTTACCACAGATGCAGGTGAAACATCAGAAGAGAATGCTTCTAGAACATGGCTATACACCCCGAAAAACCCACAACAACCCAGTGATTATGGCCATGAAAGCCTTCAACAATACATCTTCCAGAAGCATTCTCTCTTGACGTTTCGCCCACATCTATGGCAGGCATCCCCAGAGATTTTGAGATCTGTTAGAAATGTCTAGGGTGGGAGAAAGAACTCTTGTCTGTTTGAGGCAAGTGTGAATGTTGCAATTGGCCAGTTTGATTAGCATTGAATAGCTATGCAGCTTCAAGGCTTGACTGCTTCCTGTTTGGAGAAATCCTTTATGGGAGGTGTTAGCTGGCCAGGATTGTTTCCTGTCTTGAATTTCCCTTTTTCTGAATTTGTTCTTTATTTACTGTCCTGATTGTAGAGGTTTTTTTTAAATACTGGTAGCCAGATTGTGTTCATTTTCATGGCTTCCTCCTTTTTGTTGAAATTGTTCACATGCTTGTGGATTTCAGTGCCGTCTCTGTGAAGTGATGTTAGTGGTGCAGCATTTCTGTGTTTTCAAATGCTCTGCTATGTCTTTATTTGCATTTTTTCACTTTCACAGTGTTTGCAGTGAGCAGTAGAATGCCACCTGGAGGAAGAAGCCCTCCAGATCTGCAGGATGTGAATCTTTGATGTCCAGTGATCACGGGTCATTGTGACCCATATTAATAAACAGTGACAACGTTCATGTGGACATGCCGAAGCATGCATGTTCACATTGTTGCCACTTAATAATATGGGGTGTGATCGCCTTTTTCTTTTTTTCATATTCACATCAGGTCTGGAATTGAGCCTGCACAGATACAACAGGCCCACTGTACCAAATTTTGTAAAAGGAGAAGAAAATGTTGGCTAAGTGTTCCATAGAATGTGGTTCTCAGAATGAGACCACTACTGATTGACCGTGTGTAAAGCAAAGATAATTTCAAAGCCCGTACTTAGTAACGGTGTTGTCCAGATGGGTTGTGTTTCCCAATAGTTTGGCCATGCTGGCTAAAGATGATGAAAGCTACATTCCAACACATCTGTAGGGGTCATAGGTCATCCATTTATTGGGGAACATGATATTCTTGGAATACAAGAATGGAATACAAGGTTACTCTTGGAATACAAGGTTACTCTCGTGAGGATTTTTCTCAGGGGAAGTTGGTATCACTTCCGTGTAGCGGGAAGCCAGTGGAAGTGAACGAGCAGTGCCAGTCGTCAGTAGCTCATCAACTCGCATTGTGGTGAAGGTTAGAGATGAGCATCCTCATTCCGTTTCCCTCCACGTGCAAAGTTCGCGCTGTAATACACTACCTAAATGGCTAAGGCCATGAACGCCACTGCAATTAATTGCAAAATCGTTTCAGTTTATAAAGAGGATGTAATGTCAAGACAGGATGTGACAAAATGGGTATGGAGTATATTGGGGGTTTTTTAAATTTAATTTTTATTACAAGGTTTTTTGAAAAAAAATAAAACTTGGAAGCAAGGAGAGGGATAGGGAAAAGAGAAAGAAGAAATTATATATATATATATATATATATATATATATATATATATATATATACACGCACACACACACACATATACACACACACATACATACACACACACACACACACACACTCCTAACACCAGGAAGGAAATTGGGGGGACGGGGGCAGAATATATTGTGAGACCATGAAGAAACTTTGCAGAGTCATCCAAAACAAATGTGATGGGATGCAGGAGTCTGTCTCCTTCATGACAATAGAATCATAGAATCATAGAGTTGGTAAAGACCTGGTGGGCCATCCAGTCCAACCCCATTCTGCCAAGAAGCAAGAAAACTATATTCAAGGCACCCCCGATAGATGGCCATCTAGCCTCTGTTTCAAAGCCTCCAAAGAAGGAGCCTCCACCACACTCCGAGGCAGAGAGTTCCACTGCTGAACAGCTCTCTCAGTTAGAAAGTCTTTCGCATGTTCAGGTGGAATCTCCTTTTTTTCCTGTACTTTGAATGAAGCTATTGTTCTGCGTCTCCAGGGCAGCAGAAAACCAGTCTGTTCCCTCTTCCCTATGACTTCCCCTCACATCTTGATCCACGGCCCTCATCATGTCTCCTCTCAGCCTTCTCTTCTGCAGGCTAAACATGCCCAGCTCTTTCAGCCGCTCCTCATTGGGCTTGTTCTGCAGACACTTGATCATGTTAGTTGCCCTCCTCTGGACACATTCCAGTTTAGACTCAACATCTCCCTTCAATTGTGGTGCCCAGAACTGGACACAGTGTGATTCCAGGTGTGGTCTGACCAAGGCAGAATGCGCTTCCACACACCGCTCATGCAACACAAGAGTGGTTGACTTCCTTTGGTTGGGATGTTTGAAGCCACACCTCTCATAGCCCAGATGTCACACCCAGTGACTCTCATCTGTTCACTAAATTGAAGGAACAGCTGGATGGAAAACACTTTTCCGATGACGAGGTGAAAATCGAAAATAAAAGTGGCATACTTGGTGAAAAAAGCGGAGGGAAACTTCTATGACACAGGCATCAAAATCTCATCCCACAAATGACAAAATGTATTGAACTAAGTGGTGGTTACATGGAAAAATAATGTAAGACCTATGCTACAACCCATGTTAATTTTATTAAAATATATTCATTTTTTGTATTTTAAAAAAAATGCAATCATACTTTCCAGATAACCCTCGTATGCTGTTACATAAAATCCAGATTCTCTTGGTTGTTTTGAGTTTTGCGGGCTTTATGGCCATGTTCCAGAAGCATTCTCTCCCGACTTTTCACCTGTATCTATGGCAGGCGTCCTCAGAGGTCGTGTCATCAGACCTCACAACCTCTGAGGATGCCTGCCATAGATGCAGGCGAAACACCAGGAGGGAATGCTTCTGGAACATGGCCATACAGCCCGGAAAACTCACAACAACCCAGTGATTCCGGCCATGAAAGCTTTGGATAATACATCCAGATTGTCTGCATTGATAAATAAATAAATGAATATATGGCAGTGTAGACTCATATAACCCAGTTCAAACCAGATAACGTGGATTATCTGCTTTGATTTTATTTATCGTGTCAGGAGCAGACCAAACAGTTGCGTTGCATTTTTTAACAAACAAACAGACAAAATACAAAGTTTGCAAGCTTGGTAGTTGATTAAATGTCCTTTGACCAGTAGCTGGCCACTTGGAGTGCCTCTGGTGTTGCTGCAAGAAGGTCCTCCATTGTGCATGTGGCAGGGCTCAGGTTGCATTGCAGCAGGTGGTCAGTGGTTTGCTCTTCTCCACACTCACATGTCATGGATTCCACTTTGTGGCCCCATTTCATGAGGTTGGCTCTTTATCTCGTGGTGCCAGAGCACAGTCTGTTCAGCGCCTTCCATGTCGCCCAGTTTTCTGTGTGCCCAGGGGGGAGTCTCTCATTTGGTATCAGCCATTGATTGAGGTTCTGGGTTTGAGCCTGCCACTTTTGGACTCTCACTTGCTGAGGTGTCCCAGCGAGTGTCTCTGTAGATCTTAAAACTATTTCTTGATTTAAGTCGTTGACGTGCTGGCTGATACCCAAACAGGGGATGAGCTGGAGATGTCTCTGCCTTGGTCCTTTCACTATTGGCTGCTACTTCCCGTGGATGTCAGGTGGTGCAATACCGGCTAAACAGTGTAATTTCTCCAGTGGTGTAGGGCGCAGACACCCCGTGATAATGTGGCATGTCTCATTAAGAGTCACATCCACTGTTTTAGTGTGGTGAAATGTGTTCCACACTGGGCATGCATACTCAGCAGCAGAGTAGCATAGCGCAAGGGCAGATGTCTTCACTGTGTCTGGTTGTGATCCCCAGGTTGTGCCAGTCAGATCTGCTTTGATAATCTGGATTATATGGCAGTGTAGAAGGGCCTGTGTCAGCTGACGGAGGCATTTGGCACAGAGAGGTGACTGTTCTAGCAAGAAATGTTGGGACGAATATCAAGGTTCCTTCTGAATCCCTGAACATTGATAGCAACGGGAGAACTGAGCTGTGCACAATGGCCTGGAATTGGATTCATTGCTTTTATTCAGCTCACAGTCCAGCCGCATTTGAAGTGGGTCTTTCCAGGCTCTGCATTATTGGCACCACAACTTCCACAACCTCCCAGCTTAGCTAGCTTATCTTGGAAACGATGGATCAAAAGGTAACATTTCCAATCTCTAGAGAGGAAGCTAAAAGAAACTGGATTTCAGTAAGGGCTTCGACAAGGTCCCCCATGACCTTCTGGCAAGGAAACTAGTCCAATGTGGGCTAGGCAAAACTACGGTGAGGTAGATCTGTAATTGGTTAAATGGACGAACCCAGAGGGTGCTCAGCAATGCTTCCTCTTCATCCTGGAAAGAAGTGACGAGAGGAGTTTCGCAGGGTTCCGTCCTGGGCCCGGTCCTGTTCAACATCTTTATTAATGACTTAGATGAAGGGCTAGAAGGCAGGATCATCAAGTTTGCAGACGACACCAAATTGGGAGGGATAGCCAATACTCCAGAGGACAGGAGCAGGATTCAAAACGATCTTGACAGATTAGAGAGATGGGCCAAAACTAACAAAATGAAGTTCAACGGTGACAAATGCAAGATACTCCACTTTGGCAGGAAAAACGAAATGCAAAGATACAGAATGGGGGACAATGCCTGGCTCGAGAGCAGTACGTGTGAAAAAGATCTTGGAGTCCTCGTTGACAACAAGTTAAACATGAGCCAACAATGTGATGTGGAAAAAAAGCCAATGGGATTTTGGCCTGCATCAATAGGAGCATAGTGTCTAGATCTAGGGAAGTAATGCTACCCCTCTATTCCGCTTTGGTTAGACCACACCTGGAATATTGTGTCCAATTCTGGGCACCACAATTCAAGAGAGATATTGACAAGCTGGAATGTGTCCATAGGAGGGCGACTAAAATGATCAAGGGTCTGGAGAACAAGCCCTATGAGGAGCGGCTTAAGGAGCTGGGCATGTTTAGCCTGAAGAAGAGAAGGCTGAGAGGAGATATGATAGCCATGTATAAATATGTGAGAGGAAGCCACAGGGAGGAGGGAGCAAGCTTGTTTTCTGCTTCCTTGGAGACTAGGACGCGGAACAATGGCTTCAAACTACAAGAGAGGAGAGTCCATCTGAACACGAGGAAGAACTTCCTGACTGTGAGAGCCGTTCAGCAGTGGAACTCTCTGCCCCGGAGTGTGGTGGAGGCTCCTTCTTTGGAAGCTTTTAAGCCAAGTCTGGGGTGATTTGAATGCAATATTCCTGCTTCTTAGCAGAATGGGGTTGGACTGGATGGCCCATGAGGTGTCTTCCAACTCTTTGATTCTATGACTTGAAGGCTCACAAATTGCTTGAAGCAACAAAAACAAGACTCTTTAAGATTTTGGAAAGGGAGGGAAGGGCCTGCAGAGCAGACAGTTCTTTCTGTCTGAGGCAGAAGCTAGGAATATGTTCGAAAGTTTGCACTGTGCTTTACATGTCAAAATACTCTTGGGCCTGTTTCAGTTCTGTGTTCCGTTTTTTAAAGTTCAGCTTTGTTTTCTTTCCCAGGAGAATAAGTTGTGCTTTCTTTTGCATCCAGCCACTCAACCCATCACTCACTGCCCCCTCCCATTTTTTCTCTTTTTTAGGATGAAGTCTTCCAAAAGAACTCAGTAAGTCCAACTTGATTTTAGCATTCACCACTGTAAATTCCTGATGTACTCCCAACAACCGAGTCTATGCAGAGAGCCAATCTTTTCTACAATTGCCACCCTTTGGACTCGGCAAATGATTGAGAAGGCTACTGGCATTAGATCAGTGGTTCCCAACCTTCCTAATGCCGTGACCCCTTAATACAGTTGCTGTTGTGGTGACCCTTAACTATAACATTTTTTTGTTTCTACTTCATAACTGTAATTTTGCTACTGTTATTAATCATAATGTAAATATCTGATATGCAGGATGCATTTTCATTCACTGGACCAAATTTGGCACAAACACCCAATATGTCCAAATTTGAATACTGGTGGGGTTGGTGTGTGTGTGTGTGTGTGTGTGTGGATTTGGTCATTTAGGAGTTGTAGTTGCTGGGATTTATAGTTCACCTGCAATCAACAAGCATTTTGAACTCCACCAATGATGGAAATAACAACAACAAAACAACAACAACAATTTATTTGTATTCCACCCTTCTCACCCTGAAGGGGACTCAGGGCGGATCACTGTACACATACACGGCAAACATTCAATGCTGCTTTGTATAGACAATATTCTATATTCTGTATTCTCCCCTATGAACCATCAAGGATGTTAAGATCTTCCAGAGAGGCCCTGCTCTCGGTCCCACCACCTTCGCAAGCACGTTTGGTGGGAACAAGAGACAGGGCCTTCTCTGTGGTGGCCCCTCGGCTATGGAACTCTCTCCCGAGCGAGATTAGATCTGCCCCCTCCCTCTTGTCCTTCAGGAGGCTAGTGAAATCCTGGTTATGGAATGAAGCATTCCCAGAATAATGGCTGAGACTGGTTACAGACCAAAGTGAGTGACCACATATGCGGACTGAGTTGAACATGATTTTACCTTGGCGATTTGGTATATATGTATTTTATCTATATGTATTTTAATCTTGTATTGTTGTATGATGTTTTAACTTGTATTAGTAGCATTGAATCCTTGCTGTAAGCCGGTCTGAGTCCCTCTACGGAGGTGAGAAGATTGGGATATAAAAGTTTTTAATAATAATACTTTGTATACACAATATACAGACAGACAGAAGGAGGTGCCACGGAAGGTTGGGCTCGAGTCCAGGAGGTGCTGTTGCTCTTTCCTCTATGACGAAGAGCCATCAGGACTTCCTCCGTCCTTTTGGTCGCCCAGCATTTTCTGATCTTCTTTCTTTATGGTGTCGTAAAACACCTCCCCTGCTTTTTAGCGGTACCAAATTTTTCTAATCACAGCTAAAGCTGTTTTTGAATCGCTTAAATAAACAATGTGCTAGGCAGACAGTTAGCAGCTCACGCCAACTCAGGGCTTCGAACTTGCAACTTTTGGTTGATAGATCTTATAATTGCTGATGATTTACCAGCTGTGCTAAACCTCCGGCACAAAGAGCTCCCATGACCGACGGAAAATACTGGAAGGGTTTGGGGGGCATTGATCTTGAGTTTTGGAGTTGTAGTTCACCTACATGTAGAGAACACTGTCGACTCAAACAATGATGGATCTGGACAAAACATGGCATAAATACTCAATATGCCCAAATGTGAACACTGGTGGAGTTTGGAAAAAGCAGACCTTGGCATTTGGGAGTTGTAGTTGCTGGGATTTATAGTTCACCTACAATCAAAGAGCATTCTGAACCCCACCAATAGTAGAATTGGGCCAAACTTCCCACACAGAACCCCCTTGCCTTGAAGTTATTAGCTGGTGTGAGCCTCCCTCCATCCTTGCATGCTCTCCCTCGCCTGCACATGCGCACCACGCTGCCATGCGCCAAGCACACCTGCTCTCCCCTCCCCGCTTGGGGTCTCAGAAACAGCCCTCCTCTTGGCTGAGAGGCTAGCCAATCACAGCAAAGGAGGGCTTTTGGTAGGAGGGTTCGCTGTCTGTTTCTAAAAAGGAAGAGAAGGACAGGCGGAGAGATCTTCAGCCTTCCCTGCCAGAAGAAGAGAAATATTTTTTTTCTGATGATCTTTGGCGACCCCTCTGAAACCCCCATGCGGTCCCCCCCCCCCTTCCCAGTGGTCCTGACACCCAGGTTGAGAAACACTGCATTAGATATATCGGGAGGCAAAATGAATGTGACTGCAAGGGAATTTCAGTGCATTTTATTTTGCTTTTAATGCCTTTCTGATGCTGTGGATATCTAATACTCCTGGATACCTAATCACATTATCCAGATGATTCCAGTGAAGTAGAGTAATAAAAAGAGCTGGCTGATGCCTAACCATTGCTGTGGGCTGCAGGCCTACGCACATGTGCCGAGGAGTGTACTGGAAACTTAGCGCAGAGTACACTATGCCTAGGCTTGCATGTCATGACAAACCAGAATTTCTGCTTATAATAGATGAGTCAGTTTGTTTCTTCCCACTTTTCAACCATTCCCACTTGTAGCAGGAGTGCCAAAACTAGGAGAGGCCACATCAGAGAACTCTTGGCGCCGCACTCCCCTTGAAATGATTTCAATTTTTGGCTGGAAATCATTGGAAGGTCATGTCATATTAAAAACAAAAAAACATAACTGTTCCCTGCTGTTTTACACATGTTGTTTTGGATCAGAACCACCCATCCTGGAAACTTCCAAGACTAGCAGCACCTCCCCCTTTGATCATTATTCGCCCTACTAGGATGTTGAGACCATAACAATGGGTGGGGAATACGTGTTTCACAGGCTGTGTGTTGTCCAACAACATCCTTTCTGACGTGTTCAACAAAAGATGCACTGCATGTGCATATAGAAGCATTTATTTATGTATTTACTATCTTGGGTACCCGGTGTTGTCCGGGTTATTTGAAAAAGTCTATTGCATAAGGTTGTGGGTGAATTACAACTCACATCATGCCAGATTAACTCTGAAAAACTCCATCAACTTAGTTTGTTACATTGAGTAAGTTTGCTCTAGATGCATGATGGGTGGGGTTCAGTGTGCTCTCTGGCTGTATGGTAAACTACAAGTCTCACTGTGGTGAGTCAGTCCCCTCAAACCCCTCCAGTAGGTTCAGTTAGTCATGGGGGTTCTGTGTGCCCAGTTTGGCCCAGATCCATCATTGGTGGAAGTCACAGTTTCTCTGGTTGTGGATGAACTACAACTCCCAGAATGGAAGGTCGGTTTTCCCCAAACCCCACCCTCTAGTAATCAAATTTTGGGATATCAGTTATGTGTGCCGAGTTTGGTCCAGATCCATTAGTGTTTGAGTTCACAGTGCTCTCTGGATGTAGGTGAACTACAACACTAAATCAAGGTGAATTTTCCCCAACAATCTCCAGTATTTTTTTGCTAGTCATGGGAGCTCTGTGTGCCAAGTTTGGTACAATTCCATCTTTGGTGGAGTTCAGAGTGCTCATTGATTGCAGGTGACCTATAATTCCCAGGCAGGTGAACTATAATTCCCAGTACCTACAACTCCAAAACATCCAGGCCAATTCTGCTCAAAACCCACCAATATTCAAATTTGGGCATATCAGGTATGCATGCCAAGTTTGGTCCAGATTCATCATTGTTTGGGTTCACAGTGCTCTGGAGGTGGACTACAACACCCCTAAATCAAGGTGAATTTTCCCCAACGATCTCCAGTATTTTTTGCTGGTCATGGGGGCTCTGTGTGCCAAGTTTGGTCCAATTCCATTTTTGGCGGAGTGCTCATTTATTGCAGGTGAACTATAATTCCCAGGCAGGTGAACTATAATTCCCAGTACTTACAACTCCAAAATGTCCAGGCCAATTACCCTCAAAACCCACCAGTATTCAAATTTGGGCATATCGGGTATGCATGCCAAGTTTGGTCCAGATTCATCGTTGTTTGGGTTCATAGTACACTTGAATGTAGGTGAACTACAACTCCTCTAAATCCCTCCACAGACCTCCAGTATTTTTGTTGGTCATGGGTGGGGGTTCTGTGTGCCAAGTTAGTTCCAGGTCCATCATTGGTGGAGTTCAGTGTGCTCTTCGATTGCAGGTGAACTATACACCCCAGTACCTACAACTCGTATAAATCATGGTGAATTATCCCCAATCCTCTCTAGTATGTTTAGTTGCTGAAGAATAACTCTGTTTGCTGTGTGCCATAGAAAAGAATAGGAAAGGGTTATGGAAGAGGCAGTGGGTGGGGTCATGCAAATTCCACACCAACACTGGGATGTCTGTGGTGGAGGAAGCACATCAAATCTAGGATTGCATTGTCCCTGTATGAAACTTCACTTGGGTGGTGGGCAGTGTTGTGTGTGTGGAGGACACTGGCAGGGCTCTTGCACATGTTCATGGTGCTCACTGGGGCTCATTTACCTGACTCTCTTTTAGGATGGCAACGGCAGCTATACGTTCATTCCTTATGTGGTGACAGCCCAGAACAAGGTCTTCTGCTGTGATGCCAACACAATGGTGTGCCTGAGTGAACTTTACCAGCCCAGCTTCAACATGGAGGCCTTCCTGACCCCACTGACTACTCAGCTGGCCAGTCTGCTTGAGGACACCTCTACCAGCTCCTGGTAATCAACCTTTTCCACTGTTTCCCCCCCCCCCCCCCATATAGTCATATGAGGTGATATGCTTACATCATCTCCTGTTCGAGTATTTATTACTTCTGTTTTGCACTTTCCCCAGGCAATTAAAGTTGAGCATTCCCTTTGCAGCATCAGCTTCCTTTGAAATTGAGAATATTTTGTTCTCTATAGGTTTTTTCTACTTTGATCAAAGATGGCTTGCAACATCAAAAATAGATAGAGCTAAAACAGAATGTCATACAGATTGGGCATCTCTTATCTGGTATTCCAAAATACTCAAAAATTGTTCATATGGGTGTCTGAGATTGTGACACCTTTGCTTCTTGATATACACAAAATGTGATTTGTGTATGGAATTGTGGATAGAAGTACCTTCAGGCTGCTTGTATAAGTTAGGCATGGGCCCTCTTTCCAGGTGTTTTGGACTTCAACTTCCACAATTCCTAACAACCTCAGGCCCCTTCCTTTTCCTTTTCCATTTCCTTCTCCACTTAAGCGGCTGAGGAGGGAAAGGAAGGGGCCTGAGGCTGTTAGGAATGGTGGGAGTTGAAGTCCAAAACACCTAAAGGGCCCAAGTTTACCCGTGCCTGGTAAAAGTATACATGAATCTCTAATGATGTCATGCTTAGACTTGGGTCCCATCTGCAAGATATCTCCATATGTATGTGTACACAAATACAAGTTTTCCAAAATCTGAAACTCAATACATTTCTGGTCCCATGTATTTTGGATAACGGATATCCAACCTATAATAATAGAACAAAAATTATCAGTGTTTTGAAAAGAATCAAATTAAAAGCAGGTGCAAATCACATCAAGCAAGCACACAGTGTGCGTTTTGGTGCAATGTATTTATCATCTCAGAAGCAAATTGAGAATACAGTTATAATCAATAAAAAATCCACAAAGTTAAAAACTTGGCATTTTGCTAAATTTCCTTTGACCATGAGCTGGCCACTTGGAGTGCCTCTGGTTTGGCTGTGAGAAGGTCCCCCATTGTGCATGTGGCAGGGTCAGGTTGCATTGTAGTCAGTGGTCTGTGGTTTGCTCTTCTCCACACTCGCATGTCGTGGACTCCACTTTATAGCCCCATTTCTCAGTTTTTAATGCGCCGTGGTGTTACTGTCTAATGCTTATTGTTATTGTTTTAATGTTTATTGCTTTGCTTTATGAGTTTATTTATTGTTGTATTTATTATGCTGTTGTTTTATTGATGTGTTGGGCCTTGGCCTCTTGTAAGCCGCACTGAGTCCTTCGGGAGATGTTAGCGGGGTATAAATAAAGTTAATAATAATAATAATAATTTCTTAAGATTGGCTCTGCATCTCGTAGTGCCAGAGCACAGCCTTCCACGTCACCCTGTCTTCTGTGTGCTCAGTGGGGAGGTTTTTCATCCAGTTTCAGCCACTGAATGAGGTTCCGGGTTTTAGCCTACCACTTTTGGACTCTGGCTTGCTGAGGTGTTCCTGCAAGTATCTCTGTAGATCTGCTATATGCCTGTGAGATGTGGACTATCTACAGACGTCACATGCAACCCCTAGAACGATTCCATCAGCGTTGCCTCCAAAAAATCCTGCAAATCTCTTGGGAAGACAAGCGGACAAATGTCAATGTGCTGGAAGAAGCAAAGACCACCAGCATTGAAGTGATGGTCCTCCGCCATCAAGTCCGCTGTACCGGCCACGTTGTCCATGTTGCCCGACCACCATCTCCCAAAGCAGTTGCTCTATCCTGAACTCAAGCATGGAAAACGAAATGTTGGTGGACAGGAAAAGAGATTTAAAGATGAGCTCAAAGCCAACCTTAAAAAGTCTGGCAGAGACACTGAGAACTAGGAAGCCCTGGGCCTTGAGCGCTCCAGCTGGAGGTCAGCTGTGACCAGCAGTGCTATAGAATTTGAAGAGGCACAAATGGAGGGCAGAAGAGAGAAACGTGCCAAGAAGAAGGCGTGTCAAGCCAACCCCGACCGGGACCACCTTCCACCTGGAAACCAATGCCCTCTCTGTGGGAGAAGATGCAGATCAAGAATAGGGCTCCACAGTCACCTACAGACCCACCAATCTTGGAAGACAATCCTACTCGGACAACGAGGGATCGCCTAAGAAGAGATATTAGGAAGCTGTTTTTTTATTTAAGGCATTGGCTTGCTGGTTGCTCTGCAACCAGATGAGCTGGAGATGTCAATTCCTTGGTCCTTTCATTATTGGCTGCTACTTCCCAATGGATGTCAGGTGGTGCAATACCAGCCAAACAGTATAATTTCTCCAGTGGTTGGGCGCATAGACATCCTGTGGTAATGCAGCATATCTTATTAAGAGCCACATCCACCATTTTAACGTGGTGCAATGTATTCCACACCGGGCGTGCGCATTAAACAGCAGAGTAGACAATTTTGAGAATTGCAGTTCACCGACATCCTTATGCATTTTCTAATGGGAGCATTCATAAGAAAACAACAGGAAAGACGGGCTTTTTTCTAAGAAGCAGAGCTACAAGTTACCAAACTGATATTACCTAACACGCCAAAACAAACATTGCCTCTTTCAAATAACCTGGGCCAACAAAACGTACTGGAGAAGTTTGAGAGGGAGGGATGACTTGCCCGCACGGGAGTTGTAGTTCACCCTGCATCAAGAGATATTACCAAACTTCCCATAACTTTCTCAAGTAACCTGGGCATCACCGGGTCCCCAAGCTAGTAAACATAATAAAAATATAAAAGCCAACATAGTCATCTTGTTTGCTGTGTACTCATCTTGTTGTGTATCAAGTAATAATAATAATAATAATAATAATAATAATAATAATAATAATATAGATCACATCCTCAGCTGCTGCAAGAAGATTGCGCAGACAGACTACAAGCAGAGGCATAACACCGTTGCTCAGATGATTCATTGGAACTTGTGCCACAAATACCATCTGCCTGCAACAAAGAACTGATGGGATCACAAGCCGGAAAGATTTACAGAGAATGAACACGCCAAACTCCTCTGGGACTTTCGGATTCAGACAGACAGAGTTTTGGAGCATAATACTCCTGATCTCACAATCATGTTAAAAAACAAAGTATGGATTGTCGATGTCGCAATCCCAGGTGACATCAGGATTGAAGAGAAACAACTGGAAAAGCTGGCACGATATGAAGATTTAAACATCGAACTGCAAAGTCTGACTTGGCCATGGTGGTCCACGCTTTGGTTACATCCTGTTTAGATTACTGTAACGCTCTCTACGTGGGGTTGCCTATGAAGACTGCCCGGAAGCTCCAACTAGTCCAACGTACGGCAGCCAGAATGCTAACACGAGCAGGGTACAGGGAGCATACTACTCCTCTGTTGCGCCAGCTCCACTGGCTGCCAATTAGCTTCCGAGCACAATTCAAAGTGCTGGTGTTAACCTATAAAGCCCTAAACGACTCCGGCCCAGTTTATCTGTCCGAACGTATTCTCCCCTATGAACCATCTAGGTTGTTAAGATCGTCTGGAGGCACCCTGCTCTCGGTCCCACCAGCCTCTCAGGCGCGTCTAGTGGGGACGAGGGACAGGGCCTTCTCGGTGGTGCCCCTCGACTCTGGAACTCTCTCCCACTGGAGATCAGAACTGCCCCCTCCATTCTGTCATTCAGAAAACGGGTGAAAACCTGGCTATGGGGTTTGGCTTTCACCGAGTGAATCAATATTTCTGTGATCAGATAGATGACGATGAATGATGGACAACGAATTCACTATGACGACTGACCATTGTTATTATGTGATTGAATTTTGCTGTTATAATGTTTTAATTGAATATGTTATATGATGTTTTTAATTATTGTTTTGTGATTTTATTGTTGGAAACCGGTCTGAGTCCCCCGATAGAGGGGAGAAGACCGGTATACAAAATTGCTAAATAAATAAATAAATAATAAATAAAGACTCTGGCACAAGCCAGTAAAAGTGGTCCCAGTGGTGATCGGCACACTGGGTGCAGTGCCTAAAGACCTTGGCCTGCACTTAAACACAATCGGCGCTGACAAAATTACCATCTGCCAGCTGCAGAAGGCCACCTTACTGGGATCTGCACACATCTAAAAATACTTGGGAAGTGTCCGACGTGTGATCCAATACAACAGCCAGCAGAGTGTCTGCTATGGACTCATCTTGTTGTGTTAATAATAATAATAATAATAATAATAATAATAATAATAATACCCAATGTGCAATGATTTTTATGAACAGAGATTCTCAAATACAAAACAAGATTGCTCTGTTTTAAAGCCTCCTTGGTTTTTCTTGTAACCATTACATGTGTTTGGTCTTTTTTTTTAAATAACTGGAAAGCCCAGATGTTCAAGATGCCATAAATGATACCAAGGTGTCAGCAAAAAGTCATAGTCTGTTATCAGCTGTGCAGTCAGATTCTCAGAAATACTGAAGACTGTCTGTAGTTCATCCACATTCATAATAATAACTATTGTGTGGAGGAAGGCGTCAGCAGCTGATTGCCCCTCGCTACAGACCCATTGGGTAAGCAGGAAGGCTTATCATGCAAAGCATCTCTTTACCAAAAAGTCCCTTAAAATGTTTATCTGAGAAGGATGTTGACGAGGCTTTTTGCCCTTGCTGAACTGGAGGAGATAGTGGCCACCAAAAAAATAAGACAACCTCACAGTTTAATCTTATCAAGTATTTGGACTTTTTGAAGTTTCAGGGGAATCGTGGCTTATTTTATTCATCACAGGAAAACTCTTTACATTCTAAGACCATCCATAGATTAGCAATGGCTGCAAACAAGGTGGGGGATCTTCCTGAAGCATGAGAAGTCCCACCGTTCCTCAGGCAAGTTTTCAAAAAATGTTTCCTCCTTGCCATTTTTGTTGTTGTTCATTCGTTCAGTCATTTCTGACTCTTCGTGACCTCATGGACCAGCCCATGCCAGAGCTCCCTGTCAGCCGTCACCTCCCCCAGCTCCTTCAGAGTCAAGCCAGTCACTTCAAGGATGCCA